TTTTCTGATGAAAGAAAAAACATACTGAAAAGAAGTAGCTGATGCTGGTGGACTTGGTATCCTTGCCAGTGGGCTATTTGATCGACTTGATGAGCTATCATCAATATTTGCTAGAATTGATGTTGATGGTAATTGAGCATTTAACATTATTCCGGAAACTGGTGCTGCTCCCATTACTTGACCAGTTATACCGGTTGGTACCATTAATTTGGTATTATTTGAAATTACACCATTATTATTATTACTATTATTATTACAGCTATATGGAGCGGATGAAGTGGTAGTTACAACTGACGATAATGATCCATGAAAATTTCCTCCACAATCACGTAAATCCTAGAAATAAAAAAAGCAAAAAAAAAAATGAAATAGGATTTATTTATATTTGAGCTAAAAAATTTCATTAAATACGAAAATACTTGTAAAAATAAATGCCTTTTTGTATGCTAAGTAAAATTTCATCAAAATTCATAATTTGCTTAATTTTTAATTCTAAAATTTTGATTTAAAAAGAAATTTCAATATTGTTGTTGTTGCAAGAAAAAAAAAAACAGAAACCTGTCGAAAGACATGTTCTTTATTGAGATTTAACAAAACTTCAGCTGCTGCCGCTACACTTGAATAACGGACAAGCTCAAGCGCTAAAAGAGCTGCTTGCTGAAAGCAAAAAAGAAAAAAAATTTTTAAAAAAAGAAATACTTCCAACAAAAGCTGCTTCTTTGTGATAAAAAAAACTTCAAAATAAATAAAATTTTTAATACTACAAAATTAAAAAAAAAAACTTATTTTTGAAATTCGGAAACATGAAATTTCTCATTTAATTTAATGAAACAATATAATCGAGATGAAAGAAGTAAGACCTTTTAATTATAAGCATTTGATGAAAATTATTTCACTTAAATAAAATTCTAAGAACAAAAGACAGTAACAAGAAATTTTTTTTTTAATTTTATTTTTTTCACTCAACAAGTTAAACTTATGGAGAAAAATATGAAAAATCCAAAAAAAAATTCTAACCTCATCAAAACCAATTTGAGTCAATGTATTGATCAAAATTTGTCGTCGTGTTTCATCTTCCACTGTAAAATTATTATTATTATTGTTATTGTTAGGTGATGATGATGGTACTGTTGTCGTTGCTGTCGCAGTTGATGCTTCCATATTACCGGTTTGTTCAAACGGACGTAATGAATCCCGAATTTGTTCCAGCTTATCACGATGTCTACCAACACCAATACGTACATCCTGTAATTGCAATCACTTAATTAGATATTTTAAATATCTACTTGAAGTTTTAAATATCTAATTTAATAGATTAAATTTTTGATTAATCTAAATAGTTTGAAATAATTATCCGGGGCAAAAAAAGAAATCATTTATTTAAACATTCAAATATTTCATCGCTCATATTATTTAA